TTAGGCTAGTCTTGAACTGGCCTGAAGTCTTCATCTTACTTCGTCAGCCCCTAAACAATGGGATGGCAAAGGTTTCCATGTCTCTGGAAAAAAAAAATAATTCAAGTCATTATGTGTAAAAGAGGAGACACAAACAAGAAAGAAATCACAGCAGGCCCACCCAGAGCTGTGTCAGCATAGCCCTCTGGGAGCATACAGGGAATAGGATTGGGATTTAGAGTCATTTCCCTTCAGTCCCCATCTCCCTGCTTTCCAAACTGTGTTCCCATACAATTCTAACCCCTCCCTAAGCCCTTCATGGGGTGAGTGTTCAGATTAATTTAACAAAGGCTAAATAATCTCACCCTGTCTCAGAGAATCACAATGTATTTCGTTTTCAGAGCCATTCAACGAATATTAAATGGGCTCTTTTTGTGTGTCAGGCTTTGTATGGGGATCTGTGGAAATAATAAGCAGAACCAAAGCCTACCACTGCTTTCATGGAACTTCTAGGAGTTCCGAATAAACAATGCATACTTACAAACTGAAGTAAGTTCTGTGAACCAAAGTGCTAGCATTGGCTTGCATGGAACCAGAGGAGCTGGAAAGACCAACTGGCAAGTTGCAGAGAAAAGAGTGGTGTGATGTGAGATGAGATGATGCCACCCCGAGGTCCTTCATAGAGTGGTTGTGGACCACTGGGTTTGGGGCATGTTAAGAACACTGATCTTGTAGCTGAAATCATAGGGTGGATGCAAGCACATGAATACTCCTGAGAAATACTGCAGGGGAAAAAAAAGCCAGATTCAGCTTGCTTTACTCAGTTTTCCATATTTATTCCATGTAAACACCCTGGGGCCACACCCTGAACCACCTTGAGCTAGTTTACCTCTTCTATATGAAGTGTTGTTGCTGATGGGAACTTCAGGAGTTGGAAGAGGCTGGCATTTGACTTTGTGGAGGAGAGTGTCACGCTATTTATTACTCAGATGCCACTCTTCTGACCTAGCTCTGGCACTGGCATTCCTAATCCTGCAGGCAATAAATAATGTAGGAAGATCGTGGAGCTAGGGGTTGGGACACAAGCCCATCTATCAAGGTCTCTGTGAGTCTTAGCTTCACCCACAGTATTTCCCACCTGCCCCATTTAAATGTGTCTTTTCTCTTCTCTGAATGTTGAGTAAGACATGGAGTGTATTTTCACCTCTTTTGAGTTTCCTATAGCATCTAGTACAATGCTGTGTTTAATATTAGTAATATTAATATTTGATAGGGTCATATTTGTGAGTTTTCTTCTTTTTATGAGCCAATGGTGCAGATTTATTCCAGGTTTTCTTCAAAGTCTGGTTGTCCTAGCCCACCATTACCCTTTCTTTCCTTTCCTTTTCATTTCTGTCAGAGAGTGTCCCCATGGAGCCCAGGCTGCTTTGAAATTCACTTTGTGTTCCAGGCTGGCCTTGAGCCTGGGCTTCTCCTGACTTGGCTTTCTAAGCACAGGGATTACCAGTTTAGGTCCATCCCTGCCTTTTCGACAAGCTAATCTGGCTGGGTCTCTGTTCCATTATCTGTAAATGGAAACGATGCACTTGGCAAATCTCTCCAATTCGGTTTAGTTTTGATACCACAGAGCTGTCTGTCTAATGTGGTAGCCATTGACTATCAAACACTTGAAGTGTGGCTAGTCTGGATTTCAAAAAAAGAATTTTAAATGTTCCATTAATGAGTTTCATATTGCCACCATGTTGGAATAGTGTGGTGTGTGGGTGTGTGTCTCTGTGTGTGTGGTTATCACAGGTCAACATCTGCTTTCTTCCTCTGTTGTCCTCCACTTTATATTCTGAGACAGGAGTTGTTCACTGAACTTAGAGCTTGCTGATTTGAGTAGACAGCAAGCCCCAGAGAGTAGAGTCTCCTGTCTTCATCACACGATTCACTGCAGGTTCTAACTTTTAAGCAGGTGATGGGGATTGAACTCACACTGGCATGGCAGGCATTTACTGACTAAGCTATCTCTGCAGTCCGTGAAACAATTTTGAAATAGTATCTTGAGTTTATTGTCATAAAACACATTGCTAAAATTCATGTCACATGTTTCTTTTTTAACCTTTATAATATAGGTACTAGAAAATACATGTAAGATTGTGTACATGACACTTGGGACTAAATCATGTCCCCTACAGTTTCATATGTGAAAGTCCCAGTGTGATGGTGTTAGGGGTTGGAGCATAGTTATGTTTTGATGATGTCTTGAGGTGGGACCTATTATGGGACTAGGGCAGTTGTTAAACCAGACACTGGCACTCTCTATGCCATGTGACAACATAGTGAGAAGGCAGTCACTTTCACTAGAACTGGACAATGTTGTCATACTGATCCTGAACTTGTAGCTCCCAGAACTGCAAAAACAAACAGCTGTTTAGGGCATTCTGTCTATGCCTGAGCTCACTAACACAGCTGTGCTCTGGATTTCTTGGAATACCTCCATATCCAGATTGTGGCTATGGGAGGTGATTGATTCTCTAGGACTTTCTGAATCCCCCAGTCCTGTATTTCTTTTAGTAGCTGCTCCGTAAACACCAGATGAGTAAGCCATTTTCAAAGTTGTAAGTAATGTAAACAGCTCTGGATAATTTATGTGAGGGAACTTATTACTGGGGTACCGAGTAGCAGCTGAAATCTGCAAAACAGAGCAACACAATTAGAAAGACTCAGTGAAGGATGCAGTCAGAACCTCTCTGCACACTAATCTAGTGGTGACCCCACTGCCACACCAGATAAGTAGAGCTGGCCCTTTCTGGCATGGTGGCAAGATATGAACCTCATTAGATTCCAGTGCAGTCATCAGTTCATTGAGGTTAAATTGGGGACCCGTGCAAGCAAGGCTGGGGGTTAAGTGCCTGCTTCAGAAAGTGGGTTCTTAGCACATGAGCCGACTGATTCACTCTTCTAACACAGGTCTTCAGACGCTGGCTGCCCCAAATGAATGGGTAGAGTCCTTTACCATGGTAGCCCTTGCCATCTTGGCTGCAGCCCAACAGAAGTTTCTACCAAAAATCTTGCAGCTGGAAACTCCCCTGGAAGTATGAAGAATGACAACAGATACTCTGCATTCTAACGCTAAGATTGTCTCACCTTGCGTTTTAATATGGAGACACAGGAGGGCACTCTAACCAAGTAGTAGTGAAACTTCAATTCCTTGTCTGAAAAAAAAAAAAAAAAAAGATGATTTAGTTGACCCTTTTTTGTTTGTTTGTTTCACCAAGCAGGATAAGCAGGAACACTTCTTATTCTCCCTAGGTTGTCTCACTATGACAAAGGTCTCCAAGACACATCCTGCATATTGTTCAGTTAATGTTATTGGGACAAGGGCAGAAAAAAAAAAGAAAAGTAGAGAATGGGAGGGATCCTTGGAAGAATGCTTCTGGGAACTTCAGCACACAGTTCCTTTGGTTGTTCCCAGCTAGGGAAGACTATTTTATTTTTTAATTATTTATTTATAACAGGCCAGCCTCTGGTTTTAGCTATAAAGCTTGCCCAGGCTCCTATCTAGAGGACAATATGCCAAGGTCAACCTAAGGCAATAGGGCGTCCTTCACCGACGCAGCCAGTTGGGTGCCTGTTTACAAGAGACACCTGGCCTGCGCTTGTACTTTGCCAATGGAATGGGCCAGCGGGAGAGGCCAGGAGGGTGACATTAACCATCCCTTAGATTGCACCAAGTTTTATACTCAAAAGATAAAGCAATCTACCTCTTATTATTTGATGACAGCACACGTGAGCGTGAGCGATGTGGCAGCCAGAGTCACAGAACAGGACCTACTCGCTAGGGCCGGGTTCCCTCACACGGGCCCCTGCAGCTGGAGCGCTTATCTAGGGGAGAAGGGGCGCGGGTCCTCTCCTTTCCCGCAATCATCCAAGGTGAGGCCAGTAGAGCAGTTTTCCCTAGCTGAAGGAGGCTCGATGGTGGCGCTCAGCCCTGAGTCGAGGGTTCCACTTGGCCTTGCATTCAAACTCTTCACTGTCGCCGCCCCGGGCTCAGGAACTTGGGTCTTCTGGAACTGCGGACTCGGGATCACATTTTCATCTCTGGCAGCTCACAGCCAAAAGATCCAGATTACGGAGGGAGAAAAGGACAGAGAAAGGGAAGGAGGATGTTTAATTTCACTCAGCGAGAAGTTTGGCGCGTGGCTGAGGTTAAGCCACAAGTCTTAGACCCTCTCTGGGCTCACCTTGCTTTCTGGAAAGGGTGACTTGTAGCACACCAGTCCTACTCTCCGGTGACTACAGAAAGCCTACCCGCGCGTTAAGTGCTTTGCTTCGCGAGTGCGTTAATTTGCCCACGATCCCCAAGCTTCAGAAACTTCCACCCCCTTACTTTCGGGTGAGGAAATCGCCTTGGAGAAGTTGGGTGACTTGGCTGGAGTGTCGCAGCTAGAGATGAAACGAGGTCTTTGAAGTGGGGTTTGTGTAACTCTAAAAAGCATGTCCCAGAGCACAGCTCCTATATCTGTCTAGCTTTTGCCCATCATGGGGCTTGCACCTGGGTCAAAGCTTGCCAGAGAAAGAGGAAACAAACGACCATGTGGTTTTCCCCATCTTGACCCTCAGCCTCTGGTGTGGAGAGAGCATCCCAGCGCAGACTGGCTCTCCACTTTGAGGAGGATACCCTCCTCCTGACTCCAGGGATCTCTTCTCCAGTGGGAGCATTGTTTCTGGGGTCGGGGAGGATGTTCTTTGTGGGATCCAGCAGGCAAGTGGAGGATCTGGGGGTCCAGGAGTAGGAGGGGGCGCAGGGGCGGCTGTAGTCGGGGCAGCCCTTGGAGCGGGCCAGCGAGGTAGCTAGTCCATCCCAGTGGGCGTCCACGTGGTGGGTGTGTGGCACTTTCATTCAAACTTTGGGGAGTTCTCGCTTTGGCGTCAGTGGTATGACCAATCAGCGTTGCGAGACGGGAATAAATTATGCAAATAACCATCTGGCGATGGGTCAGATGACTGGAATACTTTTAAAAAGTACCTCTCCTGGAGCTCCCGGTGTGACAGCGGCGAACTCCGGGCTTTGCTGAGGCTCGGGGAGAGGACCAGTCGGGCTGGACAGCGTGTCCTTCCACTGGCTTTTCTCCCTCGCCGCGCGCAGCGCTACCAACCTACCAGACTCTCCTCCAGCTGTCCAGCACATCACTTCCTGGCCGTGGCCAGGCTGCCCACTTCTAGGCTTGGGAGGTTTCAGTGGCTTAAAAAGAAAAACAGAAAACAAACAAAAACTTGTTTGAGAGGAGGGGGTGTGGCAGGGAAGGATGCGAAACGGGGTTCTCCTGCTCTACCTCTGGAGCGCCTATTGTTGCTTCCCGGCGGGAAGTCTCACAACCTTAAGTCCCCAGGGGTCGCTGCGAGGTAACGTGCATTTATTTTTATTTCTCTTCTTCCCACTTTTCTGTGCTGGGCCCTCACAGTCCTGCGGACCCTTCTTCGGTGCTTCCCTGTCCCAACGATATCCTTTCCCATTGCGCTGTGCTCTCCTCGGTGTTGGAGACCACTTGTCTTGGCGTTTCAGATGAGAGCATCGCTTGCAAGCTATCCTGGAAGCTGCTGGCGAGCTGGGAGGGTGCGTGGGCTGGAGTGTCCTCTCTTTTGCCTCCTCCCACTTCCATTAATCAGCGCTGTCCCGCTAGCTGAGCTGCCTTCCAGCCTCACCATGTTTTAAACCTTGTCTTTGGAGGTTGGAGAGTCCAGAAAATTCTTAGAGTTCTGACTTCTGGCGGTCTGTTCCCATCCCCACCCCACCCTCACCCCAGTATCCTTCATCAGCGCTTCGGTGTCTTGGAAGTTAAGGTGGCGGAGGAGTGGGCTTCAGATTGTTAAGTGCTTGTAAGAGACATCTGCTCTGTAACGTCTTCCCAAATAACCTTCCCTCCTCTGCTCTGCCCAGTCCCCCATTCTTCCCCTTCCTTCTAGCATCATTTTCCCTTTTTGGTTCTGTGGGACTTTTTCACCAGAGGCAACCTGCCCTGGTGGAGTGAGGGCGGGGTCATCCAAAACCAGCATCAGCTGGTTAAGCAGTGGAGGGTCCCGGAGCACTTAAATCACCACCTACCATTTTATTCAGTCTGCAGAAAGCGCGCCAGAAGCTCCGAGTCCCTGTTCAGCACATGGGAGCTTAGGTCGGAAGGAACAGGAAACATTTACCTTCTTCTGCTACCTTGTTTCCAGCTTGAGTGTTAGTTAGAGGCGTGGTTTGGGGTAGGTGGCATCTCTAGTTCCTTTCCTGAAGGATTTTAAAGTTCCTTCAAGTTTCTGCGTTCTGTGGTTCCAAGTATTTAGAGGGTGGTGCCATTCATTTGAAAAGTATGGCTGCATTTTAATACCAGGAACTCTTGATGGTGGGGGAAGGCAGCAAAGAACAGACTAGATGGCAGTCCCTATCCTTGTGGGACCTTATTTCGCGGTGGGAACTAATAAAAGTATGTCAATGGTACTCAGAGGGAGGCAGGAACGTGACCCTGAGGTGGAGGCTAAAGGGCTGCTGAGGGAGCACGGTGCCTTTTAGTGTGTGGTCAGGGAGGTCATTTTTCTAGAACTTGACCACTCAGCAAGGAACTGAGAGAATGAACTGCAAGGACACCTGGGTGAAGAACAATCCCAAAGGCCCAAATGCCAAAATGACCCTGTTCTTAAGGAGTAGGAACCAAGCTAGGTTGTGGTGGGGTCTGCACAACCCAGACAAGGGCGGTCCTCCTTGTCCATGTGTGGGTATAGCCTCAGCTCCTGCTTACATTTGGCTTATGTCTCCAGCCCCTTGTATCTCCTTGACCCATCTCACCACCACCTCTCCGTAACTATAGTTTCTTTGTCCAATTCCTCCTCTCCTCTTCTTCCTCCTATTTTTTTTTTGGGGGGGGAGGGGAATGAGGGGTGGTATCTCCTGTAGCCCTGTCTTGGCTCAAATTCACTAGGCAGCTGAGGTTGGCTTTGAGCAAGCATGGGCCACCACACCTGGTTTCTGGGGTGCTGGGGATCAAACTCACTGTGTTGCTTCCTAGCTCCCTTGTGTCTTTTCATTGGTGGAGATCCAATCTATGGCCATAAGTGTGTACCCAAAGCATTCTACTACAGAGTGACATCTCTGGCCCTTTACAACTGTTGTTAATATTTAAAAAGCTGGAGCCAGGACTAGCTAAGTTATTCAGATTTGCCTTCAGTCCATTCAGTATTCAGATAGGTCCCTCATCTTCAATCCTCCTGCCCTCAGTCAGCCTTCACAGTAGCTGGGATTACATCCTTGTGCCCCCAGAACTGGCTTATCCTTCTGTTCTTAACTCTAAATTAAGCTCCTGGATGCTCATTTGGTATCTCCCTGTGATTCCTGGGTAACAGGAGAGTGAATTCTATTTCCCTAATCCATTATCAGAGAGGCTTACTAGAATGGGTGAATGAATGAAGGGGAGGGGGAGGGGGTCAGTTAGTGATTATCTTTAATGACAGTACCTACCTGTTGTCACATGGCCACAGTAGCCATTAGTGTTGTGTCTTGGGAGCAAGAAAAGGCAGCACTATATATAACAGAGAGCTGGCAGGGGCAGCTTTGCTGTTGTGAGGAATTTTACCATGGCTTCAGCCTTTCGAGTAACTAACTGGCGCCTGTTGCCATTGCAAAGAGGCCCGAGAATGTGTAAGGTCTTTGGAGTAAGTGTTGGATAAAAACAGGAATGCCAGAGAAGCTGCTTTTGTAGTAGGTCAATAACCTTTTACCTCCAATTGCAAAATCCCAGATCTCTCAAAACTGCAGTTTACTGGTGTGTGGTATGGCAAGAACCTGACCTTACATGCTCTCAGCTCATCTGACAGCTGACCCTGACAGAAAGCTATTTGTAATCTTTGTGTTTTCGCTGTGGAGCGTGAGTTGTCTTATGTTTCTTTGCAGAGATACTAGTGCATTTGACCCATGGGGGATACCCCACACTCTACTGGGCTGTCATGTGATATGTGGTGTGTCTCACAAGCTTGCCTTCTCTCTCTAATGTCACTGTCATTCTCTCTGTCACCACCTCCCCATCCCCCAGCCTTGCTATAAAGCCCAGGTTGGCCTGAAATTTACTATGTCACCCATGCTGGTCTCAAGTTCACAGGAGTCCTCTTGCTTCAGACGCCCAAGTATTGAGATTATAGGTTATAGGTGTGAGCCACCAGGTCTATGAGAGAGAGACAGAGAGACACAGAAAGAGCATGCATTCAGACTTACTTGGAACTCTAGATAGCCCAGGCTAGCTTAGAATTTACACTCATCTTGCCTCCATCTAGCTCTGCCTCAAGAGTGCTGGTATTACAGGCAAACACCGTTGTGCCTGACCATAAGGCTTTATAAATATATAAATATATAAATATATAAATATATAAATATATATATATATATATATATATATATATATATATATTTCTTGACTCAACTAGTCTGAAGCATTTTAGGAAAAGAGGAGCCTCCAAGGTAGGAATTTGAGGGAGGAAAGAAAGGAAGGAAAATCAGTTGGTAGGGAAGAATAAAGAAAAGTAAGAAAGACAGCTACTCATTTCTGAGCAACAGAATTTAGTGAGGATAGTTGAGGTAGTGGATTTACAGTAGCTTCAGTTATTTCCATTGCTACTTCATAACTGTAATTTTGCTACTGTTATGAATCATAATGTTACTATCTGACCCACAAGTTGAGAACCACTGCCTAAGAGGGCAAAGAGGAATCATTCAGTAGTCGTAAAATCTAAAACCCAAATGACAAGTAAATTGCTTAAGATTGAACTTGAAGTCACTACCCTAGCCACAACAAGTATTTACCCTGTACTTTCTCCACAGATGAACACCATAAACCCACTAGAGTACCTGCTACCCTCAAACCCTCTGTGGCTTTTACCATCCACACTTCCAAGGACCCAGAGCACCAAGGGTGCAATCTCTCCCTTGGTGACAACCAACTCTTGGAAGACTGTGGCTTCAACATGACAGCCAAAACCTTTTTCGTCATTCATGGATGGACGGTGAGCCCAGGAGGGGGTTCTGCAGCTTTTTTTATAAGATTTGATTCCTTTTGTTTTGGTCAATTAAAAAGAATAGCAGTGCTTCCAGATTCCAAACCCTCCCCCCCCCCCTTTCCTTGTGGGCTGCTTGTATTTCAGACAGCTGTGAAGAATGTAATGGGCGCTTCTCTGAGGGGGCAATCTGGACTCAGCAGGGTGGCATTTAGTGCTGGCGTGCAATGGGCTTTCAGGAAGTGCTTCTCTGGAAGCCCAACTCCCTTAGCTCTGAAGGAGCTCTAATTATACTTAATTACATTGGCCAACCACTGCCTGGAGGGGGCCCATCCTGCTCTAAGAGCCTCCGAGTGGAGCTGAAGCAACTTAACTGGCTCAGAGAATCTGCGGGCCCAGCCAGCTGGCCTGGCTGGCTGGCTTCTGTTGGCACGCTGCCTTCCTGTTTGCATAGAGATGGCCCCCTTTAAAGGCACTGGGGTTCTTTATGTGCCCTCTCTGAGCAATTTCCATTGAAAGGCCCATGACAAACTTCAACAAAAAAGGGCTTTAACACTCAGCTTCAGAAACTCTTGGCCAGCAAGGGATTTGTTCATTTATAGAATGACAGTCTGTAGAAAAATGGCACTATTAAGTGAGCAGGTTTCTGCCTGGACTAATTGGGAGGGGACATTCCTCCTCCTAATGATGAGAAATTCATATCTGTAGGTCTTCAGATCTACCATCAACAGTTAGGAATGGGCTTGGGAGTTGGGAAGGTAGGAGTCTACCTTCCTATAGTGAACAAAGGGATGACTGAGGGGCTGTCTGTCTTCATCCCTCAGGACACAAGGGAAATCTTACATTTTAATTTCTCTAAAGTCCTCCTGTCAAAATGCAAATACTAACTGCCTGCAGCTTACCAATGGGGAGCATTCCAGAAAGTTCTTTTGTAATGTGTTTGGAACTTGGAATGGTAGTTTCCCATAGAAGCCAGTTGTAAATAGTGTTTGGGTTCCCAGGCTAAGCACAGAAAATCTATTTATTTGATAATGTACGTGTGGATAGGTTACAACTGCTTCTAGTCACCATGTGTAATGTTGTTTCTGTGGGAAAATGTATTCTGAGTTCTAATTTGGGATTCCAGGGGTAGATTTTTCTTATGCTGGGGTCAAGAAGATGGCAGAGATGGGTTGTGGGAAGGAATCATTTGTTAACTTGATGTTTGCCTAAGTGACAGTGTGTTTCTAAGGGAGGAGCTAATTCTCCAAGGCAACCTTCTCTAACTCCTTGAAGGATGGACCACTTGCCTGCCTGTGACGGGGATTCAGACTAACCTCCTGCCATTATCACTACCAATACCCATGTAATGGACAGTTGAGCAGTATAGCACGGCACAACAGCTGTGAAAAATCTGATGGGAAACTGGAGATGTGACGAGCAATGGGGGAAAGAAAGCAGCAAGCCTTTCTTCCTTTGGTTGTCTTGCACGTGGGCAATTCTTCATTTCTTCAGCAGCCACTGGGAAGGACCGGTCAGATGGGCAGAGGATCATAGGATTTCTGAAGTCCAGAAGGAGAATTAAAGGAAAAATAATCTTCCTGCTTTCTTTGCAGATGAGTGGCATATTGGAAAAATGGCTGTATAAACTTGTGTCAGCCCTGCAAACAAGAGAGAAAGAAGCTAATGTAGTGGTGGTTGATTGGCTGCCCCTGGCTCACCAGCTGTACATAGATGCAGTCAACAACACCAGGGTGGTGGGACAAAGGGTGGCTGCGATGCTTGACTGGTTGCAGGTAAGCAGAGATGAAGGTGAGCCATCTATCATTAGGTTTTTCTTTCTTCCTATTTAATGCAGTTTCTTAGGAAATGCAGAGCACATGTTGTTACTATGAACTTCGAGGATGATCAAAATCTCCAGCATTGCTAAATTAAAGCACTGCATGAACTATTTCAAAGCCTGCTTCAGAGCCTTTTAATGATTGATAGATCTCTGGATTTTTCTGTTACTTTATTTTCTGAAAAAAAAAAAAATGTCTTGTAGGAGATTAGTTCCTGACCTCAGAATCTGATGCCCTAGGGTTGTTGAGAATGGCCAGGAGCCAGGGCTGGTGGCTGGTTTTCCATCTAAAAGCTGCTCTTGCCTTTGAAGGGTGTCTGTGTGAAGGAATGACAGGAAGGCTCATCCACTGCATTGTTTAAAATAGTGTAGGCAGAACAGATCTTGAGGGCCTGATTTAACTTTTTATAAGTCAACCAGTAGACTTAACAGGCAGGAGGGACAAGGAGGACTGCTAGCAAAGTGACCCTAGGTATTGAGTATTTCCAGCCTGACTTACCCTTCACCAGGAGATCTTATGATTCCTGGCAGGATCCTGGGCAAGATTTGTGATCAGTACTTTGCTCTGGGGTGCTCAGAAAGACTGCTTTCTGAGTCAGGGGTCAAAGCCCCACCTCAGCATCCCCCCTTCCCCAGCTGAGTACTCTGGAAGGGGACACTCCTCCAGCAGTGGGAGCGCAGGTAGCTGAAGGTGAGGAGTCAGATGCTTCTGGGGGTAGAGTAGAAGTCAAAGCCTAAGAGTACTGGCAGGGAGCAGGCCACTGTGGTCATGGCTGGCACTTTGGTCTACATTGATCTATCTGTGTTCTCTAAATACTGCCCCAAAGCCAGGAAACCTTGTAAAGGAATGCTCAGGCATGCCTCCTGCCGTCTTATCTTCCACCCTGCCCCCTTGGCATTTCAAGTGTCACCAAGTCATTTAGAACTCCCTGTCCCTGGTGGGCCATTCATATTGTATGCCCAGCAACATTAGTGATGCCTCAGGGAGTCTTATGTCTGTGACCCTTCTATTATGATGGATAAGTTGAATTGTTGGTGGCCCTGAAGGCTCAGGACTACACCCTTTGATGACTTTTTTGCAGGAGAAGGAAGAATTTTCTCTTGGGAATGTTCACTTGATTGGCTACAGCCTTGGAGCGCATGTGGCTGGATATGCTGGCAACTTTGTGAATGGAACAGTGGGCAGAATAACTGGTAAGATCTGCTTCTGCCATGTTTTTTTTCAAGTTATGTTAGCAGTGTTCTTCCATATGTGTTGTGTTAGCCATGCCTTTCAGATTTTCTCCTTTCTGGGAGAAATTCAAGGTGGGGAAATCTCAAGGTCATCAAGCAATAGGGAGCACAGCCTGGACATCACTGGTCTAGTTTAAGAGGTGAGGACTCAGGCAAAAGTGAGTCAGCTTGCTCAGGGGCAAATAGCTAAGAACTAAAGAGTAGAGGCCAAAAGGAAGTCTTGGATTCCAAGCTTCTGAGTGTTCACTCTTAGTTCTCCCATGAGATTCCAGATGTGAGCAGTAGAGTCTAGTTTGAATCCTGCCTCTGGTTTCTCTTTCATCAACCAATAGCTTCTTTCCAATGGTAAGGCTGTGTCTTTATTAGTGATAAAGTTACTGTCTAGATATCAGTTACTGTTTAGAGTGAATTTTGTAATTAAAGAGACTTTCCTGATATCTCTATCCAGGTACCCAATAGAAAGTGTTTTTTTGTTTGTTTGTTTGTTTTTTGTTTTTGTTTTTGTTTTTCTCTGTATTGGAAATTATATCATAGTGAATTTTTAATGCTTGAATTTGGACTAAATTATTTAATGATTATGGAAAAATGTCAAAGATCCTTTATCCATTTTTGGGATCTTTAGGTACATAAGAGAACTTCTTCTACACTAAAATTGTTGTTAAATTTGCTGCCCTGACCTTCTTTCTCCTCCTCTTTTTATAGGCGCTGAACCCTAGCTCCCTTCCCACCCCTAATATATTAAGAATGAAGTCATATGTTGCCTTCTGTTGCTATATCTGAATGGCACAGATTGGATAAGTTATAATGTATAGGAGGCTTTTTTTTTTCTTCCTGGCATCTTTTTGCTGCATGATAGAGTGGTAGAGGCTATCACATGATCAGATAGTAAGCATGCTAGCTTAGGTCATTCTTTCTCATGTAAAGCCATCAGCATCATGTTGGGAATGCCACCTTGATGACTTTTCTCTAAAGATAATGGCTCTCAGACATCTCACTTCCAAATACCATTCACATTTGGATTTGGGATTACTTTTCCTGCTCATGAATTTTTCAGGGAGGATACATTTGAGCCACAATCAAAGAGCACCTAGAAGAAAAGGTTTGGCCTCTGTCTTTCCCTGTAATGCTTTTATTTTGAAATAGGTCTCGAGTGGAAAGGAGTCTAATAGGTGTGCTCACAGAGTTAATAGTTATACACACAGAGTCTTATAGGTGTACACACAGAGTCTAATAGGTACACTCACAGAATCTAACAGGTGCACACACAGAGTCTAATAGGTGCACACACACAGAGTCTAATAGGTGCACACAGACATGCATGCAAACTTTTTTAGAGCAAGTGATTCCATCCAGCATAGCTTGAGAGTCCTTCTTCCTGAACTGTAGTGCCCTGAGACTTGAATGTCCCAAAGGAGGCTGTGATTGTGTGGCCGTTCTCTGGTGTTTCAGGGCTGGGCCAGCTGGATGCAAACTGTGGTGCTCATGTGTCTCTACCAGAGTGAAGGTTCAGTATGTCCTTGGCAACAAGGACAAACCAAAGATTTTGCTTTTCCTTGTTTCCAGTCTGAAGTGAGATAGGGCTAGCTAAAGAGCTTTCCGGTTCTTTTTGCTTGTTTAGGTGGTAGCTGCTGAGGATAGGGCCTCTTGTCTGTGGCCATCCGTGAAGCTGGAAAAATGCAAATCAATGTCACATGCGGTAACCCTCATGTCCTGACAGCAGGGCCTTCCCTCTGACCTCTCTGTGGAGCAGAGGCCTAACCTCTGTCCAGATGCTTGCCACACTATTGTAGGTGTCTCATGGAGATAGGCTGTCTCATTCTTTAACTTGTTGGCTTCTCATGAGAACCTGTTGATAAGAGGATGGAGACCATAGCTTGTGTTTAGTCACCAGGGAGTGATGCTACTGTGCGGAGGCTGCAGGGGTCCTTAGCTTGGGGCCTGGAAGAGATCGGAGTCTCAGTCTTGCTTGGCTAAAGGGTGTGGGGTTTTCAGGAGCTTGTCACAAACAGCTTCACAGAGCAATCTGTGGTGCAGTCGGGAAGAGGTCATGTATTCCTAACTGAACTTGTGCCTAGATAGTTATGGGCAATAAGCAAGAGGGTGGATTCCTTTAAGAAACATGAGTGAGGTATACATTCTGTTCAGGCTATAGGATAGATGCTATTTAATGTCCAATCCCCAAGCACATGGTACTTCCTCCATGCCATCTCTAAGCTACACAGCAGCTTTCACAGTTAGGGGAAGGAGGCTGGGATGATTAACAATAAGCCCAATATCTTGCACACTGTAAGTAGCAGGTCTGGGATTCAGTCCAGGTTACTGGGTTGCAGGGCCTGCCCTTAGCTACTATCTAGAAGGACAGATAAAATATATAATAAAAAGTAGATTATGCCACTTTTCTCCCGAGCTTGAGGGCCAGGGATGTGTGTCACACAGTCCAAGCAGGGAGCTGGGTAGGTGAAGGCCCCACACTGGCCTGTGAGGCCCCCTCAGCTTCCAGCATTCCTCCAGCACAGCTTCGTTTCCATGGAGCTGCCCGTCTGGTGGGGACCTTTGTTTGCACCAAGCAAAGAGCCCCTCTCTTGTATTGGTTGCAAAGCATACTGTTCCCCTCTTCTTCTTTCCTTTCCTCTTCGGTGCACATGGTGAGAGGCAGGGGGAAGCTTCTATGTCATACTCTGGCCCTTGCAGTCTATCCAATAGGTTATTATTGGCTATTCTGGAAGGGCACACTATCATCCCATCTTTCTTTTGGTCCCAGGTTAGGGTTGATCCCTAAGTATCCTGGGATGCCTTTCTGCCATAAAATCATCCAAACTTCTGTAACTTTCTGGTTTTAGCATCCACCTGTCTCCATTAGTAATGAGCCCTGGTTTGTTCACTCTGCATGTAAAGTCTTTGTCCTAGGGGTACCTTCTCATGTGCATCCCAGTGACCCCGCTAGTTCTTGGTCTAGGGAACATGGTTCTATTACCCATTGCCTCCTTTTAAGACATGGATATGCTGGGTATTGTGATGTTTGCTTTAATCCCAGCAGGAACAGGCAGATCTCTAAGACTTTAAGACCAGCATGGTTTACATAGTGAGTCCTACAAAAGTGTGGGACATCCAACTGGACAGAGGCCGGGCCCCTGCTCCACAGAGAGGTTGGAGGGGAGGACCTGCTTTTGAGACACAAGGGCAGCTGCATGTGGCATTGATTAGCATTCTGCCAACTCCCCAGGCCCTTGTCTCAAAAATTCAAAACCAAGTAAACAAAACACAAAATGACACAGTTCTTGGCCATATTACCTCCAGGCCTTGGTGTCTCTAGACTGGGGTCTCTTAGTCTGGGAAGTGATGTTATGGGGGTCCATGGGGGACTTGGTGTGTGTGTGTGTGTGTGTGTGTGTTAGGGCCATGTGGCACATTTTAGGATGTTTATCAGTATCTCTGGCTTGTCCTCAGTAATGTTAGTCTCTTACCCACAAGTGCCTTAAACAATTTTTTTCCTGAAATCACCAAATGTTTCTTGAGGGCAAAAACACTCTCAGTGTCCAACATTGTTTTGGACAAAACAGCGCCCATCTTGTGTACATCTTATTTCTTTACTTTTTCAAAAAAAATTATTATTTCTAATTTCTCTGGGCATTGGTATTTTGCCCGCATGCATGTCTGTGTGAGGGTGTTGCATTCTCTGGAACTGGAGTTATAGATAGCTTGGAAAAGCCACATGGGTACTGGGTATTGAATTCAGGACCTTTGGAAGAGCAGCCAGCATTCTCAACCACTGAACCACCTCTCCCCCTACATCTTATTTCTTGACTCTTTCCACATCCTTTTTGTGTGTCAGTAGAGTGTAGAGCCTTCCTGGTGGGATAAATCTGGTTTGTATAATCACAGCTTGATAATAAATATAGACAAATTCTTAATCTCTTAATTTTTTTTCACATAAATGAATTGAGGACCAAGGTTCCACTTCATATATAATTGTGAAGACCAGAAACACTGACTTACAGGATCACCTGGAGAATCAATCTACATTTCTGTGTTGTATGCCAGCCCTGCCCATTGGACTCAGAAATCTGCACTTATGTTTTGAGGGTCTATTCATTATTTCTTTCTTTTAAGCGGTGTTTTTACATTTGTGTAGTTCAGAATGAAGAGACAGTGTTAGGTCGCACACTGCTTTGTATACCCGATCAGTTCCCTCCCCATTGGCTCTCCTGATGCTCCCTATTCCCCTGGGTGTCCTTCCAGTGTTTCTTAGAGCTACATGGTAGAATCCAAGTTTGTACAAGCTCCTTCATATGATCTGAACAGTCCAGAGCAGGAGAACCAGTGGCTCGTGTAGAGCAGCTCTCAGCTTCAACACAGAAGGAGGCAGAATGTCTTTCTCACTGTGGCTGCAATAGAGAAGACATGCTGAAGTCCAGTGTTTGGGTTCACACCATGTTGAGATTTGGAGATGCTTTTCTCATCGGTACCTGGGCCCAGGCCTTGGCCTGACTCATGACTAAAAGGAAGGGGAAAAGTGATTCCAAATGCAAACCATCTGGTTTGGAACAGAGTTCTGTGGAAGGTGCCTAGGGGCAGATGACTCGGATGAAGGGTTTGGATCAGGATCAACTCTAGTTTTCACTCCTGTGGTTTCCCCAGGGCTGAAGACAGGGTAAATCTTGTTATTAGTATATTGTGATGGCTGAGGCATGGGGGTTTCAGAAAAAAAATGCTGGTTCTATAATTATAGGACTTAGTTCTGGTGATGACAAATTGGATCAATCATATATGAGTTTCTTATTTTTTCCCGGTCTGCTGTATCTGGATTTAGCTGCTGGGCTCAGTGAGCATCTTCATTCTGCGTACTTGGACTCTTGAGTTAAGACTCAATGCCTTGATGCTCTGACTAAGTCCATCTTGGCTTTCTTTGCTGTAGGTCTGGATCCTGCAGGACCCATGTTTGAAGGGGTGGACATCAACAGAAGGCTCTCTCCTGATGATGCAGACTTTGTGGATGTCCTGCACACCTACACACTCTCCTTTGGCTTGAGCATTGGGATTCGGATGCCTGTGGGTCACATTGACATCTATCCCAATGGCGGTGACTTCCAGCCAGGCTGTGGCTTCAATGACATCTTGGGATCTATTGCATATGGAAGTGAGTTTGTACTTAACCTGCCTTGTGTTTGATTCACTTCATCCATCTTCTAAGTCAGTCAGAGCTGTTAGTACAGACAACACATCATTCTTATCTCTCCCACAGTGCTGATGCACACTATTTGCCTGTTAACATTCATGGGCTTGCTCATGCTTCCAAGTCACAGTTGTCACTGAGTGATTTTCTTTTTTCCTGAGACAGGATCTCACTAATGTAGCCCTGGATGGCCTGGTTCTTCCCATGTAGACCAGGCTGGACTTGAACTTACAGACATCTGTCTGCCGCTGCCTCCTGAATTAAAGACACATGCAACCATTCCCAGCATTCATTTCTAGTGTTTCTACTCAGAGAAATGTTAAGATTTAGTGACTCTATCACACAGCTTCTCTTTAACACTCTATTTTGCTTTACTTTGCTTTTTCTTTCTTTCTGTTTCCTTTTTTTTTTCTTTTCTTTTCTTTTCTTTCTTTCTTTCTTTTTATTTATTTATTTATTTATTTATTTATTTGAGACAGGGTCTTTTCATGCAGTCTCTGCTGTACTGGAGCTTGCTATGTAAAATAGGCTGGCTTCGAAATCACAGAGATCCTCCTATCTCTGCCTGGGAGTGCTGGGAATAAAGGTGTGCACCACCACTCCTGGCCTTCTATTTTACTCTTAGTATATGAACTCTCTTCTCATTTCTCTAAGTATATTAGTGTAGCTTTCCCTACAGAGTAGGCAGTTAGATGGCTGGAATGGTCTTAATTCCTCTGTAGGTTAATAGGAGCTCAGAATACCACTGAACCTACCCATGTTAATTATCACACACCATAGGCTCAATAAGCCCATCCCTGATGAGGTGTACAGGGACTACGGACTGAACAGTGGAATCATCCAGGAGTGGTTCATCCCATGTGTTCTCTGTCTCCCTTTTCCCCAGCAATCACAGAGGTGGTGAAATGTGAGCATGAACGAGCCGTACATCTCTTTGTTGATTCTCTGGTGAATCAGGACAAGCCGAGCTTTGCGTTCCAGTGTACGGACTCAAATCGTTTCAAAAAGGGGATCTGTCTCAGCTGTCGGAAGAACCGTTGTAATAGCATTGGCTACAACGCTAAGAAGATGAGGAAGAAGAGGAATAGCAAAATGTACTTAAAAACCCGGGCTGGCATGCCTTTCAGAGGTAACTTACCTTCATGCTCCCCGGTGCCCCTAGTCTTCTTCCTTTATGCTTTCTTGTAGAACAGGACATGTAGCAGCCCATGAGTTGTGGTCTATGTACCAGGTTATTATAAACCCCCCACTAAATGCCCCACTAAAATGGCTTAAGAAATCCAGGCTAAGGACCCCTTTTGTGATATAAATACCTCCCCATAATCATCAGTGTCAATATCTCAAAGTTCTATGTTCATGTTCAACAGATGGGAAGCAAAGTACAGAGAAGACTGGAAGAATAGTATTTGCTCCCATAACCTGTTCATGATATTTTGTGAAACAGTAGTTTATATATGGAAGCCTTGAGATCCAGAGAAGCCTATATTTTGGTCCTTAACCCAGTGTCACACAATAGAAAATAAATAGCTCCAAGTCCCCAAACATCTGAACCCCCAAGATCAGGGCACTTCTTCATTGACTTCTTATGCTATCAGGCAGATCAAGACCAGAGCCCAGCTAAGGCTAGACAGGGCCAACGGGATGCTTGTTTTTAAAATTCAGGGTACTATGTGGCTCTTGAGGTGACAAGCAAGGCTCATAAAGGTCTTTGTTCCATTGTCCGCCAGTTTACCATTATCAGATGAAATTCCACATCTTCAGTTACAAGAACACTGGAGGCATCCAGCCCACCTTCTATATTACCCTGTATGGCAGCAATGCAGACTCCCAGAATCTGCCTTTGGAAGTGTAAGTGTGAACATTCTTTGCAACTTTGGTTCAGGATGGAGAAGTTAGTCTGAGAGTGCAGGGAAGGTATTGGAAGAAATACAGGAGAGTCAAGTCGCCTTAAACTGGGGAGGAGCTGCATGGTTCTAGCCCGGCATCTACATCTGCTCTTTCCTCTCTGCTCCTTGGAGTGATTGACTCAGAGGGTTTCACGGAAAGGAAGCTGCCAATGTGAATCAGCTTCATGAGAAACTGCTGGATCAGCCTCGCAGAAAATGCTGCTTCATCTGCAGCCACACCTGACACCTGAGGCCTTAGGGAGCTGGGAACTCTGTGAACATCATCCCTAGACCTGTAGTGGATCATCTGTGGGAGGGGCGCATGGAGGTCTGGAGAGATGTGTTGAGTTCCCACCAGGCACAGAGCATCCTGCCAAGCGGTGTTGTTATTGTGAAGACATATCAGAACCAGGTGTGAGGGTGTAGTCTGGATCCCAGCACCTAGAGAGGCTGTGGCAGGGGAATTGTGAGTTCTGGGCCAGCATGTGAAATACAGTGAGATCTGATCAACAAACAAGTGATAAGGAATAAAGAAGGCAGGGAGGGAGAAAGAAGGACACTACAATCACACTTGTATGGGCTCAATGTCTTGCTGGAGGACAAGGCTTTGGCAACCACAATTGTTAGTGTGATGCAGCAAGGCAGTCCATACAGAATGGGGGAGGAGGCAAGAAGAGAGGGGTGAGAAGAAGGGAGGGAGAAAGGGAGACCTCTGTCTCTGGGCTGAGAAACAGCAAGTGTGCTCCTCGGGAAGGCAAATTTGTGTTTTCTCTTTTCTGCGCCCCCTTCGCACTGTCTCCTAGGAATTAATGCTACAAAGGCATACCTGCTCAGGAATGGTTCTGATACGATGTTAGGTGCTTTGGGCAAAGTGACCTGTCAGTGTAGAGTGCAACCCAGCTTCCTGTGAAGTGGGGACATGGAGGGCATGGGTGGACACATTGTGCCAGTTTCCCAAGGGGTGGGGAAGGAGATGAGTTTGTCTCTCATTTTGCAGAGTGGACAGCATCGGGCTGAACGCCACCAACACCTTCCTGATCTACACTGAGGAGGACTTGGGTGACCTCTTGAGGCTCAGACTTTCCTGGGAGGGGATATCTCATTCCTGGTACAATCTGTGGAATGAGTTCCGCAGCTACCTGTATCAACCCAGCAACCCCTCAAGGGAGCTGCACGTGCGAAGAATTCGTATCAAGTCTGGGGAAACTCAGCGCAAGTAAGTGTTCCTGCCCTTCTTGGTCTTTGTGAGGGGAGGGGACAAGGTTCTTCTGTGTTTCCTCCTTTGTATGAGTAATATCCAGTGGCCCCGGGCCACCAGCTAAACTTCTGCAAGGACTGTTATGCCCAGAGAAGGGCTTCTGGAAACTATGGTCTGTACATCTTATGTCCTGACCACAGCCCTCAGGAGGAGGGATGGGGATGGGCTGTCTGTCTGGAGTTTGGTGCTTGTGCTATTTGCCAACCAAGTCTTGTGCCAGCCCAGAGGACAGGGCTCTCTGGGTGTGCAGCGTTGAGGGCCAAATTGGAGCATCTGGGTACACAGTGAAGTCTTCCACAAAGCCTACCCTTCCAGAGCCCACTTCTCCGAGCATTGCTGAATCTTCTCCAGAGGCTCTGAGTCACGCTGCTCACTTGGGGTTGTGACTTCCACCAGCAAAGAGCTCTCTACGCTGTGCCAGCTGGCAGCCCCTCATTTCTTTGAACCCCAAACTGGGAGTAACTCTTGTTACTGTGCCCTAACTCTGCCAAGGAGGGCTCAAAGCCAGTGAGGCTCTGGAGACCTCCCTCGGCAGAGGGGTGCATTCTTCCCTAACTTCTGCAGGGGCCACCATCAGCCTCAGGCTAGAGGAAGCAGCCTACATCCTTTTGGTCTTTCCTCTGACATCGTTTCTACTATAATTCTTGCTGTGTCTTGTTTGTGTCTGTTGTCCTTGGTCAGGCTGGCAGGAGGAGCATTGCTTTGGCACTTGGAATCCTTCTTTAGAGTATCTAGTCCAGGACCTGTGACTTGGGGAGTTTTTGAGTGAAGATCTGTTTGAACCCAGGCTATGATCTCCACAATTGTATCTGATTTCCTTCCTTGTGCTCTTAAGTGCAGACTGAGCTGGAAGGTGTGATAGCAAAAATACAATTACTATTATAAAATATTTCAGATATAGTAAACATTCATTAAATCACCATCGAGGCATAACAAATATAAGCAATATCCCAGTTTGTGTTCAGATAAAAGATTTCAAAAGTCGAGCATCACAAAAATATCTGGAGTCAATTCTGTGCCCTTCCTTTGCCCACAACTTCCCTTTTTCCAAACCAGATAGAATGAAAATTTTGTATCAATTAACTAATGGTGGTAACCTGTTCCCTTCCTTTATGTTTTTGTGCCCATTGGTACCTTTGTTTGTACCCATTAGCACTATGTAGGATTGTTTTAGATGCAGCTAGATTTCCCATGATTGGGCACACTGTTTTTAAGAGTTGGTTTTAAACATTTACATGTCTGTAGTCTAGTCATAGCTAACTCTCCAAAGTGGTTGGACTAGTTTTCAGTATTGGCCCTAGCTTCCCTTCCCTAGCTTGTCCTCTCCCACAGTGGGACACGGTTGCCTTTCAGGTGACAGCAGTTCTTCTGGCCTTGTATTAATTTGTACTTCCTGACTGTGAGTGAGGTAAGCTATCTTTTTGTAGGTTTATAAACATGTAGGTCCACAGGTGTTTAAACTCCCCTAGAAAGATCCAAAGTATGGCTTTTTTCCTGCCCAGTGTTATCAGTGTGGCAATCACATCACCAAGGCTGTGTGGTACAGCCACAAGCTATCGTTTCTCACAAACTATTGTGAAATGGCGATTATCAGGCCTTTGGCTTTTCCTATGCCTTTGGCTGTCCATGAGCTGAACATTTTTTTTAAAAAGATTTAATTTAAAAATTTAAAATTACGTGTGTGGGGGGGGGGTTGGGGGGTGCACCTGAGTAGCCACAGAGTCTAGAAGAGGACCTCTGGTTTCCTGGAGCTAGAGTTACAGGTGGTTGTGAGCCACTTGACCTGGGTGCTGAGAACAGAATTCTGGTCTTTGCAAGTGCAGTTTGTGCTCTTAACTGTTGAGTCGTTTCTCCAGTTACCTTTGATTCTAACATGTAATTGAGTTCCAAGTACTCTGGTTAATAGATATTTCATAGACCTTGAGTCTCGTGGAGAAGCTGACCATCGATCTCAAAACCCTAGAATAGTTTCAAGGAGCATTGTCTATTGTAAAGTAGAACAAAACTTTAATTTTAGAGTTCAAGTTGTAAGCAATGCAATTACCAAAGCAACATTTATGTAAAGATATGCCTTTGTACTAAGGTCAGGTTCATGCGGACTTGGGCAGGGATGGGAGCTTCCAAGATAGAGAAGAAAATCAGGTAATGTATGATCAAGGCTGCATGAGATTGAATCATGAAGCAAGATACATGCTGCATCAGGGATGGGCAGTCCTTTAGCAGCAATAGTAAAGCCTGCAGCCTAAAGCAGGGATGGACAGTGGTGCATCTGGGAGTGACAGGTAGTTCTGAAGGGTCTGGAGTGGGTATAACATGTGGCAAGTTTCCTCCTCCCCTTTCCCACTTATTTTGAACCCAGAAAACACTGTCTAGAGTTTGGAATACATCAGTGGCTTCTTTTTCTCTTAGAGTGACATTTTGTGCTCAAGACCCTAAGAAGACTAGCATCTCTCCCGGCCAAGAGCTGTGGTTTTACAAGTGCCGGGATGGCTGGAGAATGAAAAATGAAACCAGGTAACTTGCAAATGGCCACTGATGGAAAGTTCCTCATTTATAAAACTTACCTGGTGGAGGGTGGGAGACAAACACCTAAGTGAAAATACTAGGCCTCAGGTAATGTGACTGTCCCTCTGTCTTGCTCTGTCTTACCCTCTAGGTGTTCACTGTACACAAATCCCCAGCATTGGTGTCTGGTTCCCCTGACCTTAGGTTGTGAGCAGGGCTGGGGAGAAGTCTCATCTCCTAGCTTCCCTTTGCCGCCAGGTGTAGTAGGCAGTAGGATGGGAGGCAAGATTAATAGATTTTATTAGATTTTTCTAGAAACCTGGTTGGTATGAGCAGATGTTAGTGGGCCTGATTTTCTCCACTTTGAGGTACAGGATTGCCTGTGTGTAGAACCAAGTGGGATGACAGAGAGGCTGGTGGTCTTGTGTGATATCATGGCTTCAGGTGAAGGAAGACCCATATCATGGTGTGTGGCAATGGGATCCTCAGTGGAGCCTATCTTATGCCACCTAAGCCAAAATACCTTCTAAGGATGAGGGTGGCTGTCTCTATATACACTCTCTCTTCTTGCCCTTATCTTCAGCAGAGGACTGGGTGATAATCCTGCTAGGGAATGCTGGGTGTGCAGTATATGCCCACATGCATCCAGTGACTTACAGAGTCATTTAATTTTATGGACAGTCTCAGGAGGCAGGTGTCACTGTTCCTGTGGACACTGAGAAACCTGAGGCCTGGGAAAATGAAGTCGCTCTCCCAAGGTTCCCTAGTGTGAGATGGGTCATTTTCCGTTAAAGCCTGCTCATTTCAGTAGAGAAGTTGCACCTGCTCAGATGGAGCACCCCGCCTCTGTTTAGGCACTAATTATCAAACAAGACATTTGCAGGGATCCCCTGTGATTACCTGTCTGCCAACCCAGTGGGCTTGACTGTACAGTCAGCTGATATGAGTTCTGCTAAGGAGCATGGGTGCATCCCAAGCTTAGTAATCACAGACTTGTGGGGTCTGAGGACTCACCCCCATCCCCTGCCATTAAGGGATGCAGTCTAGGGCAGGCAGGCTCATTTGGTCTTCCTCCATCATTATTTTAATTTTTTGTTTGTATTTAAATTTACCTCCTTCAAAGTGCTCCTGTTAATTTCATTGATAGACTATACCCAGGAAGGGCTCACATGAGGGACAAAGTACTTCTTTTTCCGTTCTAGAATGCTCTAAGTTATACAACTTGGATCACACTCTTTCTTTTGGGGGAAATGAGTTAGCCCTTTGTTTCCTCTCTAAAGCACAGAAAACAATAGGAGGCCAAGCAATAAAGGGACACTAGGAAGTCAGGGCATCCTTAGCCCCTTGCAGTGCCATCAGATTTTCTCTCTTCTGACATGAACTTCCTCACCAACAAGGAGTCTGAAGTTCAGAGGGCTCCTGTAGTTGAGACTAGGACTCAATTCTCTTGACTCAACCTTGTTCCCTTCCTGCCACAGGAGAGTCTTGTATGTTTCCTGATAAAGGCAAAGACGTTTGATAGTCCTCACATGTGTACGTATGTGTTGGGCAGAGCTCATGAATGCAATGACTGTGACAAGTGCACCTGGCAGCCCAGACAGGCTCCCATGGGTGTTTCTCAGGAGAGCTTTCCATTGTCCCTACATGCTAGTCAGTAAAATGGCTTGCCTGTGTGCAGAACACTCAGTCTGGGTTCACATCTTGGTAGATAGACCTTGGTACAGTTTTGCCCATTTGCTGGTTGAGTGAGCTAACACCATATTCACATGGTTCCTTCCAGTCCTTTTGTGGAGCTGCCCTGAGGGCCCAGGAAGTCCTGAAGCCTGCACCCACTCATACCCGACTGACTGTGCACATGGAGCAAAGTTACTGCTGAAGACCCACTTGATAGAAGACCTCAGCCTCGGAGCCCTGGGAGGAGCTTACTCGTTGGGCTCAGCTTGTTTCCCCTGATAGCCATGACTTCTCCCAGAGAGGCCTGTGCCCTGCTGAAGCCTTAGTGAGGATCTTAACTCCAAACTTCCTTTGACCCCTCAGGAAGCTGTGTGTGAGCACTGGAATGTCCAGAGCCCTGGTGCACCATGGGCCACTGTCACTGCTGCTTGGTGCGCCCTGGATTTGTCTAACCACAGGGAACACAGGCTCTAAAGTGGCCCTGTGTGGCAGCTGCTTACACTCACTGAACTGTAGTCTTTCTCTCAAGAGCTGACTCCTACCCCAGTGACAGACCTGTTACCTAGAGAAGGGACATTAGATCAGGCTGGTGCTAATGTTCTTTTGTCCTCCTCTGTGAGACTGATGGATCCTGGTTCTAACTAGGTATCCCATCATGCTCCCTAGCTCACCTTTTGAAGCTCACACTGTTGGCATTTTTCTTCTTATATCATTCATACTCGGATTGAGCAAACGGTTATTGGGCACTTCAACTAATTAGCACAGGGCAGTAGACACACAACTTAATCTTTGCATTTGGAGCCAATGGGATCAGGATCTCTGTAACCTCTCAGGCTCACTGGCTCATGGGTTATGCATGTGGTTAAAGACAGACAAGGCCAAGGGGAGAGCTACAGGCTAAAAGAGCTGGGACTCTGAGACCTTTCGTGTGTCATTTTCTCTAAGGGCCATGCTTGATCACTAGTAGAGCAGCAAGCAGAAAACCACGCCTGGTGGCCACAGTGTCGGAGCAAAGTCTCCATTGTGTAGGGAGCTAGACAGTGTTATGTGTGTTCCACACACCTGCCACGCAGAAACCGGCAGCTGTGGACAGACCTGGCATCGAGCTTTGACACAATACTCTATCTTCAATGAAATAGGTAGCCTTCATATCAGTGCCCCCTCTGTGTTAAGCTTCTGGGAGAAACCTGCTGTTCTAGATCTTAATGTGAACTAATAATTGTGATACCCGAGACACCCTTCTGTAGTTTCTAGACAGCTTGTTGTGTGTATCACCTGATCAGAGTGCAGGGAAGCCGTTATTCTTGTTTTGTGAAATCAAAGCTTAGGGAAATCCAGCCACCTGCTTAGATGCTGTATGGAGGTAGGGGCGGGACCAGGCTGAGGACCAAATGAGGTTTCCTGGAGACGAAGTCCAGGAAATGCTCTCTGCCACTCCACAGAGATGTCTGCAACTATTTCTTATCAGTTATGTTTCCGATGTGACAAACAGGGACATTTTTTTTCCAGAGCTATTCATAAAATCAAACTCTTTCGTTGATATACAAAAAAGAATGCTGGAAAGAAGGGCTGAGGTTTTATGGGTGGGTCTGTATTTAGGTTTTCAATGCACATGTATCTGTACTGTACCGTACCAAATTTATATCACTGTTTAAAGCCAAACTTCCGAAGCTATAACCAGTTCAACCTTAATGCAGAGTGATCTCTCTGACCCTCTGTGCACCTCTGCGATTGCTTTCTAACCAAAGTGGAGCTTGTTATTGGCCACATATCCTCTTGACTTCCGGCTTCTGTGTTTAGTAATGGAAGCCTGGAGAACTGCATCTTCTGTGAGTTGTGAGTTGTGTATTTATATATTTGGCTTGAAGCCTTGTTTGTATATCTGATGCTTTTTTAAAATGCTTAGACCACTATTTATTTCTAAGTGTATATTATGTATAAAGATAAATTTATAGCTAGTTTTTACTTAAAGATTAACCCATTTCAGGATTTTAAAAAAGTTTAATAGTAAAATAAAAAAAAACGATATAACTTTTAATTGTCTGGTAACTCATTTCTTAAAATTGGGAACAATATGGCTGCCCAGGTCTTGGACTTGATACATAATTACTTTAGTATAATATATATTCTCTATTTGATAGTTATTGTTACCAGGAAGTGGACAACTACTTTCAGTAACGGATGGGAAGAAAAGTTATCTGAATTACAGAAGACCCTAAATGTTTTTCTTTTGTTACAGTTGTAAGAATAGAAGCTGGGGAAAGGGTGGGGGTGAGTGGTGGTCCAGAGTGACGGTCCCAAGTGAGTGGGGTCCCAAGGTAAGGGACCATGTGGGAGAGCATAGCAGGTTCCATAGCAGGCGAGGGTGAGCGAGGTGGGAGGAAATAACACCCCAGGCAGATAGAGCTTAAATGAGGAGTGAGGGAAGGGAAGAGACATAGAGGCACCGGGAAGAGAAGAAGAGAGAGGGTGGGGGGAGACAGAGAGGGGAGAGAAGAAGAGGGGGGTAGCTGGTAGCCAACCAAGAGAGAGAGAGAGAGAGAGAGAGAGAGAGAGAGAGAGAGAGAGAGAGAGAGAGAAATAGCAAAAGAGAAAGCAAAAGATAGCGTAAGTGGGCAGGGGTCTGACTTTTAAAGGGGTCCTTTGCACCTGCCTGCAGACTAGTACTCATGGAACCCTGGGCTGACCAGAGTACTGCCTGAGTGCACTCTGCCAGGTGACAGGGGTAGGCCAGCGTAATGCCTGAATTCTACACTCAGGATGGGCGTTTTTAAGAACAGAGTGGTGGGACATCAGAGGACATTCTTGAGCTCATAGGTTTGGTTGTATGGGCTCGGATGACAGTGTCATAAACTGGGTAGAGCTGATTTCTTGATTACACTGAAGTCTCTGCTAGGACAAGAGGAGGTCAGGCGCTTGGTCTTTCCCTTAGCTATTCATAGTGTGATCTGTTCATCTCCAGAGCCCCTCAGGTCCTCCTCCAGCAACGGGAAGGTTAGAAAATAAACAGGAGGCCCCTTCTCTAGGGGCTGACTGACAGACAGTTGTCTGACTTCACTCACACAGCAACAAGAGAGGCTGGGGTTCTGCTTCTGCTCAGGATTCCCATGGGCCCAACCAAACGTCCAGTTGTTGGATATAAAAAGGAAATTGGATATTGCCATCTGTTTACCAGAAATTAACTGTTTTCCCTGGAGGCAGGGATAAACCAAGGTGCTGTTTAAATCATTTTCTGGGTTTTTTGTTTTGTTTTGTTTTGTTTTTAAATTAAAGATAGGGTCTTAGTTTGTCTCCCAAGCTGGTCTTGAACTCACTGCTCAGTGTGTATCTCAGGACTTTAAGTTTAGGTAGATTATATAAATTTGACTTTATTTCTAGTCTTAAATGTTAAAACACTTTTAAAACATTTTTGAAAACATTACCAAGCTAGTTACAAATGACTTACCTGGCATGCTAGGGACACAGTGTTGCAGTAATACCACACAGTGAGCCAGTAGATCTTTCCTCAGTTTTACACACCTGTGCCTATAATTGATTTTTTGTTGTTTGTATGAGACAAAGTCTCCCTGTTATCCCAGGCTGACCTAGAACTCATTCTGTGACACAGGCTGCCCTCTTGCCCCAGCCTCCAAGTGCTGCAATTACAGGCATGTGTCTCCATAGTTAGTAGTACAACAGCATTGCTATCAAATTGTGGGTCTGTCTAATCCAGCTGGCAGCAGTTTTCAAAAGTAAGTTTGTGTAGCATAAGCAGTCATGAACACCCCCCATAAGCTCTCAGCCAGTCTTGAGGTTACTTCCTTGAAGAACCTGCAAGGGTGTGTATGAGTGGTCCCTAAGGAGGTACTTGATGACCTATTTGCAGCAACACCTCCCTGGGGCATGGGCATAGTGTGCATGCTGGTTTAGGATAGCTCTTCACATTGTACTACTGTGTCTTCCACAAGAGCATGCTGGCATGTCAAGGCACCTTGCCTTTCAGCATCATGAGCTTTTACGTAACTAGCATCAACTGAATGAAAGTCCTTACCCCAAACTTCCATTGGTCCAGGTCTTTCCTTGAGCTGCACAGTCATGTTCTTCCAGTACTAGCACAGTGGCACTTTTTCTCATCACAAAACCATCTTTAGACGGAATGGATAAGCCAATCATGATCTGAGTATGCTCAGAACCCAGGCTGGAAAATCACATGAGAAGTGAAGGACTAATGCAAGATTCTGAAAGCCCAGCCACCACTGTATCAGCATCATCATGGTCATAAACCCTAGCCTTCTGCAGCACAAGCTCCTGTGGAACAAACAGTGCATGCCGCAGATTAGAGTTTTTATTTGTACTGCACACTGATCTTACTATCTTCAATCTGAAACATCAAAGCAGTTTCAGAGGCAGCTTCAGGAGGACCCAGTCCCATGCCGACTGCAGCACAAGCAGCCATTGGATCAGAAGACCAAAGCTGTGATCCAGGAACTGATGCACAATGGCCATGATGGTGAGAGAAGTCATAGGCTCAGTTTGTGTCTGATTTGGACACAAAGTTATGTGTTTTGAGTGGCCTTCATGAGATCTTCTTGACACACGAGCAACAATATTTCGAGAGATTCTCTTATGCTCAAGAAGGGGAAACAATCCCATTTTCTCTGGAAGAAGACAGTCCCCTACAGTTGAGTCCCAACAGCAAAAGGAATGACCTATCCAGTGCCTGTGATAACAGCCGACTTGTTAAGTCCAGATGTTGGCACAGTTCCAAGAAACCTTTCATTTCTTATTTAACCACCATCGAAATCTCAGATATTAAACTGAGTACATTGTCAAGGGAACTTGACAATGTTGTTGTGATTCAGATGGTCAGAAACACTGTCATAACAGGGTTTGTGCCCTGAAACAGGGCAGAGAAATCCTTAAGACATTTAAAATGAAAAGGAGACTCTCTGTAAAGCTCTCCATTTCCACAAAGGACATCCCAAAGCAGGTGTATTATTGCAGCTGGAATTTGGACTATTATTGGGTATGTTGTTAACTTAGTTGTCAACACAGGTGTCACATGTCAGAGAAGAGAGCGGACATAGTGTTTCTGGCAGAGTAGAGTAAAAAAATGAAATTGCTTAAAGGTGGGGGGGGGGAGACAAGAAACTCCCTGGTTTCTTGTCTGACTTGGCCATTTTGATCCACTCTCAGGAGAGTTAGGGAAGTCTCCATGGGCCTCTCAGGAACTCTCCAAACACAGAGCCTCTGACAATATCTGGAACAGTGGGTGCCAAATGATCACTTACTGTGAGATGAAACTAGGTCCTAGGGGACCTGCTGATTGGACAGTAGGGGGTTGAGTGCACACACAGTATATGACATCAGAAGTCTCAGCTTGCTGTTCAGGATCATGTGACTGTTAGTTTACAGAACATTTTGAAGTCTCTGCCTGCTTCCTTAAGAAACAGACACAAAAGGCTGAGGTTGGGTCATGAGTTCAAAGCCAGCTCGGGCTGTAGAGGAAAACTCTGTCTTAACAAACCCAACCCAACCCAACCCATCCAAAATGAAGACTGCTGCTTGGGATGTTGTGAATAGCAAGTGTATATGGAAAAATTAATTTTTAGTACTAATTTTAAAATAAGTTTTGACTTGAGAAAAAGATAATAAAATTTAGGCAATATAAACATAA